TCCACCGCCGACATAGCAACTGGTGCCGAGGCAGGTGATGAAAATAAAATAAACGCCGAAGCTATCAAAGATGAACGTCAAGGCCGGCTCTTCCTCCTCCAATTCCCACCCATGACTCCCAACCTCATGACCCCATCTGCCAGGCAAGATCAGTCCGACGAAACGACAACTCTCGATGGCGCGTCCACAGCACAGGCGCCTGAAACAATCACGATTAAGAAAGAAAACGGCACCACCGCCCATATTCCCCTAGGCGGATCCGCAAGTCTTACTGTCCCCAGCAAATCAGCCTCTTCTATTCCCTTTATCTCGGCGACGAACAGCCAACTTCCACCCGGCCGCGTTGGCAAGTTGAAAGTCTACAGGTCCGGGCGTGCGACGATAGATTGGGGCGGAATCAGTTTCGAGCTGAACAAGGGCACCGATGTTGACTTTCTCCAAGACGCCGTGGTAGCGTCGGACTCGAAACCGGGAGAAAATCACGGCGCCGATAGGAAAATCTGGGCGATGTCGCAGGTAACTGGAAAATTTGTGGTAACACCGGATTGGGATAAATTGCTCAGCGAGTGATGGTGAAGCTGGGGGAATTTTTCGTTGTTTTCTTGTTCCTTTCCGTCAGCATTTATGAGCGCATAGACATTTGGAGGCATTCTTTTATTTGGCCAACGGAGTTATTATTATTACGCTATTTGGGTGGAGAAATAGGAAAAGTCTGTATCTAACTAGAAGTCTTGAATCTAGCATCTGTCTCTTCCGAGTGGAATAGGATATCTTTTTACCGTATTTGAATCCTCCTCCTGAACCCGCTCCCCCAAAACACACACTCGCAATATTCATCGCTTATACGCAATTGCGCTTGGAAATGATAAGGCCCGGCAAAATTGAGTATGCGGCACATGATCAAGAGTTAAATCCCTACATCATCTACACGCCGTGGATATTTGCCCATGGGGATTCGTATCCGAGGGATATCATGGTGGCAAACGATGATCGCGCGCTCCCTTATTGATTTTAGCTCTGCCATCTCATAGCCTTATCGTACAAATTTTCTGGTTCGCAAACGTGAAAGTTTCCAGAGGTTCATAGATGATGAGAAGGCGGTCCTTGAATTATTCTTCTTCCGATTTCAGAATGTAAGCCATTTCCATCCCGCGTATTACCTCACTCTTAAGCTCACTCTATAGCAGTTAAAACACCACAAAGGCATGGTCTTAACCCAGGCTCGGCGTGAAGAAGAAGCATATGGCTATCCAATCATGGAGCGGGCGAACAATAATTATAGCTTCGACAAATGAGAACCCCATAACCTGAATTTAATATTCAATCCGTAGGACCGTCTTTCTCAACTCCAGGAAAATATCATGGATATTCTTGAGACCGAGGCCCTCAAGGAATGAGAATAGCTGTTGGATGATAGACAGCTAAGTACGGAATTGTCTTAAGAGACATCTGGACAAGGACAGGGCCTATTCATGGTACTCCTATGGTATGTATGTGCCAATAACAATTTTCTGATGTTCACAAATATTAGTATCTGACTGCCTTCTAGCCATGTGCTCTCATCTGTGATTAAAATGATCCGTCCGCATCTTCACACAGGAGACCGAATTTTTTCTCAATCAGCTGGGCAGCTTACGCACATATCTCAACCAGATGCCACTCGAGCTGGGTCAGTGGATTGATTGTAACTGGTTGGACAGGTTCTAATGATGTATCCGAGCAAAACTGTGGGCTGGGCCACCCAGTTCAGTGATGTATTCATTCTATTCCTAACTAGCCTTGTAACTCAGTTTGGACCTGCGATAACATTGAGACACCGGAGGTGGCCATCCTGCAGGTAGTCATGCGCTAAATCTAAAAATGGTGTTCTTGGAGATCATTGCTGTCGACAAATCAAATAAGAGCGTACAGGATTCTCCGTACATATGCGCATATCATAGTCATGGTGGTGGGTGATATCCGGCCTGGACTGAGCAGAACGAGCCGAAAATGTATCCATGACTTAACTACATAACGCATGTGATGTAAGTATTTTTTTGGATATATTGAGGAATATCTACGGCACGTCTCTTTTAGTTACCAGCAGAAGGCCAATAGAAGAGTAGAGATGACACGAAAGTACAATACTTTGGGCAAATGCCTCAGTAATTAGGGGGGTGATAGATGTAACTAGGAAGGATCCGATACGGGAGCCGGATTTACTATCCACTAGATACTGAAAGGTGATAATGCGGGGATTAAACAGGTTCTCAGACATAACAAGAGCAGCCTGGGTCTGGATGGCCGATATCTGTTGGGCCCCTCCTTTTGTAGGCTCGTCAGTCCGTTTCCCAATATGCAAGTAACTCTCTGGATTTCTTTGCGAATTGGAATTGGCATGGCTTAAATATGAAATCATGTTCGAAATATTTGGGATCGACTGTCGATATCAACAATGGATCCCTTCTTAGTTGTAAGTGAATGGTGGGTGACATATTAGTCGATCACCGGACTGTCATGAAAAGCTAGCAACGCCGTGTAGGCATATTGGAGGGCAAAGCGGACGTTGAGCGATCATTATCAACTCAGCCAAGCACTGCGACCATGGAACCGCTGTAATCATCAACCTTAAAACCAGTCAAAGTATGGCTCCCCCTCGTCATTTCAGCTAGCCAAAATTGCAAATCAAGATTGAAAGGTTTTCCGCATCTTAGATCAGGGTGGCTTTGAGCTGGTGTCCGAGTGAACCCGGGCTTAGAGTGTCTGGAGTGTTAGCTAAAGCAGGAGCTACACAAGAACTCAGAAATTCGCATTAGAAGGTCTCAACCCCCCAGCTTGCAGACATCATTATCGTTGAATGAATTATTTTATTCCCCGACTTGACTGGCGGAGTAACCGGCAGCTAATATGCTGTCCGCGTTGCCAAAAACGATACCCAAACCTTCCCAACCTGGCGGATGGCATCTCGAAGATTAGCGTGTCACTTACGAGCGGACAAGCAATCTGCTTGATAGAACTAAGGATATTCCCAAAGAAGAACATAGGATCATTCGGAATTCAGGGACATTCTTGATAACGTGCGAGCCTCCGAGCCTCGCTACTAGAGGAATGTTTGACGAAATACCCCATCAGTTAAGGCCAAATACGGACAAAGAATCACGTATCAAGTACAATGTCGGGAATTTTGCCTTGTTCCTCCGCAGATTGCCCGAGAGCAAGCGGCCTGTTGCGCGATCGCATTCTGACCCAGCTAAAGACACGATCATTATCAGTGCTTGCGAGTCTAGTTCTTAAGCAACATAGCTGAACGTTCGCGATCATCGATTTGATGAATCCTCAACAAAAAGCCTCCCAATTCGAGCACGGCACAATCTAACACGGGAGGCTATCATCGCTGGCACGGTCCGGTGGATGTGGTAATAAAACAAGGCCGTCATAGTTCGGGGAGCATACTGTTCGGGAATTCGCCCTCACGCTGCCTCGGACCCTTCAGTGCCAGGGAACACCCAGCATCTCGTCGCTTCGATGGCGATACGGGCATTGATCTTCATCAAGGCCAAGATTGTTGTTGTCGGAGTGGATGTTTTATCCAGTTGTCAAATCACGGTGGTCGAGGGGTAAGAGGTCGCAAGGGACAAGATATCGGGATGTTCCACCAGGGAGGCGTAGCTCATTGCTTGTTCCTCTAGCTTGGCGTGGGTAAGCTGGGAGGGACGACCATTAGGGGAGCCGGTTAAGGTGGACAGCGCGTTTGCTTCTGTGGAGGAGTAGGAGTTCGACTACAGCCAGCATTTCGGGCGCGCGTGTTTTTCGGCCGTATATTTGACTAGTAGTTGAAATATGAGCTATCTTAATTTCTCAGTCGAGTAATTAGCGAGCAGAATAATTGCCGCCTTGGGGTTCCATGGCTTACCTGTATCCTGTCGTGCATTGAAGCAGAACAACTTGCGCGATGGCGGGTTTGGTGATGTTTGCGTTGTTTGCTTCTGCACTTCATCGACCCGCCTGCAAACAAGACAACATGGTCAATCTGCTTTAATCGGACATGCAAAATCGAGCCTTGTCACTGGAGAATCACAAGTCGTGTTCGCCTTATCAAAATTTCCTTAGGTTTCCCTCCTGATCAAGCCTTCTTTTCGCCCTCGATTCTTCCCAAAGACGAAACTCTCGACAGTACAGACAGCCTCCCCCATGGATCCAAACCGACTGGGCGGGGTGGCTATTTCCCAGCTCAGGCCGTGCAGCAAGGACCTCAGCAATACAGCCAGGTACCTGTTTGCACGGAGACGTCGCGGAATAAATTATAAGCAGCACACTGATATCCTGCAGAAGCCAGGCTAGAAGCATGACTACAACCTGTCACTGCCGTGGAGTGATCACTACTATCTTGTCTGCTCATTCACATTAACACGTCCTGAGTTTTAGGGAGATGCCAATGGTGGCATAGGGCCTATAGCTTTTTGATGGCAGTCCGTGCTCTGCAATCATTTCTACAGACTACCAGGTCTCATGGGAACGCAAATTATTACTTTATACTGGTCTCAATCACCATGTGTTCAAGGAGTCTTCAAAGGATTGTGTCTTGCTTATTCTCTAGAAAAAAACTCCTAAACTTCCAATAATGATGGCACCAAATTTCTAGTTACTTTGTTCTAGGACATTTCGCCGCTTCAACATCCATCATTTCCGCACCAGATGCTCTCCCACCTCAGCTTCCTAAGCTTCAACAAGGCAGCAAAAAGCCTGGGGCTGTTTGACTGGCGAGCAAACATCTCCGCTGATGCAAATTAAGGTTAAAGCTGCATGCCAAGCTTTGCGGCTCCAATTTCAATTGGCGCAGAAAATCAGCCAATTGGATTGATCGACAGAGTGGAGACTCCAACCAATCGCAGCGCACAGGGGTGACGACGTAATGGTCCAGGGATCTCCGTTGTGATGGAGAAGCAGGACGAAACAAAACATCAACGCAAGCTTCTCTTCTTTAACAATCAAACCCGTTCCCATCATCGTTGACACTTTTCCTCTTGCTAGTTCCTGTTATATCCAACCTCTCACTCGGAAAGGGGCTGCAACTGCCAAGTTGATCGAGCAGCGACAGCCCTTAAATCTTCTCATCCGGCCTTTGGTGCACACCCGTCTCATAATGCGGCTTCCACAATCCCTCGTTTTCCTTGCCATTGGGAGCTCTATCCCCCTTACAAGCGCATCCCCGCATGCATACGAACTGGCCCCGGCCGACCGACAGCCAGCACTTCCGTCCTTTGCCCCAAACCAACTCCCGACCCCTGGTTCCTCCCTCTCGCTCTCCCGACCTTCCGCAACCAATTCACCCGTCCTAGACGAGCGAGAAATCGTCAATGCACCTCCCGTCGCCCAGCCTACAAAACACTCACAAATGTCCCCTGTGATGACGGTCAACATCGGTGGGAAACCGGTCCTGTACACACAGAAGTTCTCCGATGTGCCAGACCAGTGGCCGCAGCCGAAGCAAGGGACGATTGGACTAGGGTCCTTGAAGGGAACGATTGGTCAGACGAAGACAATTGGGAAGCGATCTCCGGTGGAAACTACGACGCTAAACGCAAAACAATTCAGATGTAGGACGCCGGAGTGTGCGAAGGCACTATCCGAAGACGCAGTCATCCTCGGCTGATGGATTACTCTTTCTTCTCTATGAACGTGGGAAGCTTTCAGGTGGATTTTCTCTATGGATGGATGGTCGTGGCGTTGAGAAGTACAGACGGATATTTTGAGTCCCGTGGTAAAACGATGCGTGAATACGCACCATGGGATATAACAGATGAATGAACTTTTCTTGGGAGTACACATTTAAGACCTTCAGATGGGTAGAGTAACATTGTACTCCTCGACCTGAGTCATATGCAGCTTAATTCTTTGTAATTTAATGGTACTTGTCTTTATCACTTTCTTGCACTTGACATGGATGGCCCCGTCTGGGTCTATTATATGTGTGAGTACAGGTTCCGGATGCCAACGCCATTTAATATCAATTCGCAGTAAAGGAGATACTTACACGTGTACATGCAGGTTCTTATTTCGAAAATAGTGGTTCCACAAACTTTCCCTCAATCCGATACCATTAAGACCCCACAAAACGCAGAAAAGCTCTTCATGGTTCCTATAAGCCAATGTTTCAGATGGACAGCCTATATCTGGAGCATAGCACGAATATTTTCATTTCCATGATTCAATGGAAACATTGAGAGATGATCAGAATATAACCCCGCCTCCCGCCACTCCCCAAGTTATGCTTCCATCCATTTCACCAACACCCTTCCTAAGACGCAAGCCATTATAACTCCAAACGCAACTCTTAGTTTCCGGTGTGGCAATAAATACCCTCCTCCAATCGTAGCTCTCAAGACCCCATAAATGCCTGGAAGTGGTCTCAAATACTTTACCCTATCAAACGCTGCCGTGCTCGCGGCCGGATCAGTTTTAACCTTGTCATATACACTAGGCAATAGTGACGAGTGGTGCTTTTTCCGCAGCGCATCATACGTCTCACGGTCATATATGGTCCAAAATTCGTTCTCCGTGTAAAAAGTCTGGGCATAGAGCCATTTTGCGCCACCAAGGGAGTAGACCATATGCTCCAGGGCGCGGTTCGCTTCGATAAAGGCACGGTGAGAAGAAGGCCCGGGAGTCCATAGGCCGACATTAAGGAGCATTGTATTTTCTTCTTCTCCTACTCCGTGGACGACCCGTTGAGACTCAGGCGACTTTGACGCCGGTAATATCTGGGGATGAAAAGATGCATATCCTTGTGGATGCGGCTTAATGGGACATAACCACAGCGGATATCGGTCAAATTTCTCGTTCAAGTAATGGATAAAGTCGCCTGCTGCAGGCCACGGCAGCGCAAGATCTTGAATGATAAAGCTGCTAGAAAGCCTGCTCTTATGCAATGCATGGTACATCACGCGTGTATGCATGAAATAATCCAGCAGCCAGCGCGTAAACCTGTTAAACGGGAAGTAGAAATATTCGTATGCGAATTGGGCAACCCAAAAGCCCCCACGATCGTATCGGAAGAGATAGTCCACCAGCGGAATATACTCGATTTTTCGTTCCCTGTGTGATTCTCGGCAAAGTTGTTCGGCATGAATATAAAACCACTCATCAGCTGGACGGCTGAAGGTCCGAAAGCTGCTTTTCCTCTCTACATCAACAGCGCTTGCCATATGACCTGTAACAATCACGCCTCGATCCTTCGCAAAGAGGATACCATCCACATAGTCAACATTTTCATCCCGCATCTTCTCACGCAACACGCTAATCGCCTCTTCGACACTCTGCACAGGGAAATATCCCACCTTAACCCACTTGCTGGTCTCAATCAAGTTGATTTCCAACAGCGTCGTGACCCCTATTGTGCCAAAGCTCCCCGAGACGCCCCAGAACAAGTCATCGTTCTCTCCGGAATCCGGTCGAGCAGTAACCACATCCCCATTGCCCAACACCACCTCGATCCACGTAACGGTTCGATCAAAGAACCCGTACCGAAACGAGCTGCTTTCTCCTCCGGTCCCCGCAAAGGCCCCTCCAACGGTGATGCCGGGAAACTCCATCACCACAGGTGGAACGAGGCCATGCGGCAGCGTAGCTGCAACGAGCTTATCCATGGGAACGTTCGGCTCCACGAGTACGTTTTCTTTCTCGGCGTCGACTTTCAAAATACGTGTGAAAGAGCTGATGTCCACGATCCTGTCATGTTGGAATGACTGAGGACGGGTGCTGTTCGTAGAGCCATGATAGATCCGAAAAGGCAGGCCGCGAGAGTCCAGTCCACGAATGGTCGAGGATACGACGTCCACGGCGGCCTTATGCTGCTCCATTATTTTTGATGATCTAGGGTGAAAACAGATATATCCGTCTATGGATGGAATGTTACGTCCGTTGGACTCCCTTCCCTTGAAAAACGGAGCCCTAGCGGCGAATATGGAACTCACGTTGTCCCAAGGGGTTAGTAGTCAACACCGTTAAGCATCCAATATAATCAGCTGCGAGTCGTGTGAGCTACATTGATGGCGCATTGAAGAACCGTGGTTGTGGTCGTCGACAACAAAGTACAACCTTAGTCAGAAAGCGGTTATCGAGCAGTCAGCGCCACTTAGCCACATCTGGCAGTTGATTAACGTGACGGGCAGCGATGCAGCTGGTGAAAGCGCCAGGTGAGCCCCCTCCTGGCACTCGCGCAAATGTGTAGTCTTACCTACAGGAAAAGCGAATGGAAGCCCGGGATTCAGGTGTAGATTTCTCACGAATTCAGTGTATATACAATTACATCAAGTGCACCCATTCCCATTAACGGATTCGCAAAGCGTCATCCGATTTATTATATAGTATCCCAAGATTTATTCCTGCTTCTTAAAGCAAGGAAGCCACTTGTGCAATGCAGCTCTCCACAACTGTCTGGACTTTTCTCCCGCCTTGAAGTAGGATCTAAAATCATAGCAGTGCTGCGCGTTTGGAACTATGTAGCCAAAGATCTCCCGCGGCGATGTTGGCTTATTGCACTCCGGAATTTCAGTGATGATGTCGACCTTCGGGGCAAACCATTCTTGCGAAAGCGGGGAGAGAGATCTCCAAGGGTCATATTGTCCTCCACTCCAGTAAGTATTGGATGGACGCATATGCCAGCCGCCGGTGGCCTTGTTCGTCTGGCGGGCCTTAGGGCGGCGTGGAAGGTAGCCGCTCTTGAGGCCATCGGGGAATTGGCGATAGCAAAGAGACGTCTGGATATAGCGATCCGTTTGGAAATCGGAAAGAATCTCGTGGGGTGGCCAGTTTTGATACTGGAAGTATCCCCATTCGCTGCAGTACTGCCATGTCCAAGCGATACCTGACGGATCTGCCACTCTCTTTCCAAGGTTGCACATGGTTGGCTCGTCTGGGTTTTCGCCCTTGCAGTTCGTCTCAAAGGCGGCGTTGACACGGGGAACAAGACCCGGCCATGCTGCAAACCGCTCTACCACTGCCTTGGCGCCTTTAGTTGGCGCCCAACCCTCAGCAGGAGCTGTCTTATTAGTTTTTGGGTCCGTTTCGAGCCAGTTGCAGAATTGTCCGACTCCGCCGTCTGGTCCTTGACTCTGCCATGTGGCCCAAGTCCAGATCAAAGCTTGTGTGAAGTCGCCATTGGTATTGTTCTGTGCTGTATCTCCAAGGAAAAGCTTCTTTATCTCGGCAGCACTCTCGCCCCGACGAAGCTTTGAGTCAATGTACTTGTAGGCAGCGCGGACATCCTTAGTGCAATTTCCATAACCGTATGCCACCAAACCCCTGTAGACCTGCTCGTAGTAAACACTCATATCAATCTGAGCTTGTACAGGGGCACAGGCAGCGAAGGAAGCAAAGATAGTTTCTGGATATTGGTCTCTTGTGAAGGCAGCTCGCATTCCAGGATACGAGCCGCCGATCATGACCCATGGTGTCGACTTTGGTGTCAGGTCATCGTCTGGAAAGTTCTCACGTTTGAAATTTTTGGCAAAGTATGGAATATCAGCCAATGCTTGCTCGTTGTTTAAGTATTGAAAGTGTTCGGCGGGAGTGTCGAGATTGACCGGGAAGGGATTGGATTCGCCATAATATCTTGATCAAGGTTAGCTTTTCGGATATGTTCCTAGTTGGAACAAGCCACGTAGGTACGTACCGGTGCTCCCAGACGATACCCATACCGTGGAACTCTTCTAGTAATTGAACGAAAAACGAGGTTTCATTCACAAGATAAAAGTCCGCGTAGCGTTGAGCATTGGCCTCGCCGCCATCAAACAAGAAGACCGGGCCTCCGGATTTGTACTTGGAATCGTTAACCCAGAAGCGATTCTTGTACTTGGCATCGGGGTTCTCATGATCGATAGGAATCTATAGACGTGCCAGTTAGACTACGTCCTCCGCAATAAAAACCAAATTCCTATCGAGCTCTATACACACCTCTGTGAATTCCGCTTCTGGTGCGCCGCTCTTTTCGGCGTGATGTTTCATAGCGGCTTTGAAACCGGCACGGTCGGCGAAGACGGTTTCAGGGTCGATGCCCATCATCCCGGCCATCTCTAGATCTTGTTGTAGGGTAGACCATCCCATTCCAAAGGACGCTCCTAGACCTAAGAGCGTGGCGAAGGCAGTGCCTCCGAGAAGTTGATGAGAAAACCTCATCTTGTCAAGTGGGCTGGTGTATGACGGGCAATTCTGCGTTCAATTCCCCACAACGACCAACTCCCCTTGGGAGTGTTGCAAGAACTTATATCCTGTTCTTCTCGGAGAAATAAGCGTAGGCTCACGTTGGCATGGGTTCCAGCCATATACTCCATATTCATCTCCCCCCTGTCATCAGCCCCAGCCTAAATTGCTCCGCTGCCGCAGGCCCGATAAGAAAACTGTCATGCCACAAACCTTAATTTAGTATAGCTGAGGAGGAGTCGTATCTGTTGTACGCTGCAGAGCCCACAGTCTCAGCCCACGAGGGTGAATAAACTGGGTCTCCTGCCATGTCGAGAGAGGAGGCACTCACTTGAAGATTCATCCCCGAAGCCCTTAAACCAAGATGGGCTTCAGATGGGGAGAAGGCTCTGATGTGGAGCTGTTGCAGCCCTATACAGACCACTCCAACGTAAGATCTTTGTGATTGGCTTTAAACCATACAAAACCCAAGGTTCTGAGCTCCTCCGTTGGAGTTAGTTATGTTCTCGAAGCATGAAATTTAGAATTGTGGCATGCCAGTAGTCCTGGTTCGGACCTGGGCAGCCGTCTTCGAATTGCAGGACATGCCGCCCAAAAGTTGCAGAACCGAGGAATCCATGCCGATCCCTGAGAGAGGTCCATATGTCCTCCGTAAGTTACATCAACATCCATACAAATGCGCTCTATGTGGGGTGAGCAATGGGTTGCTGGCTTCCCATTCTCATTCATTTCTGGCCGCGTCGGTGTATGTTGGGAGTTTCTGATTGGTCTTCCAAGGCTACCCGGCATTATGCTCGGGTTTCCGTGCCTCACCAGATGCTGGGGATGTTGGTTTGGCAATCTTCTAGAAATCCCAGACCGCGTCTTCCTCCCAGCAAGAAAGGGAGGGGGTAAAAAGACTGTAGCCAATCACTCGTTCCGTCCCTTGCACCGGGGCAGAGAGACACTAGGCATTAATCCCGGTAGGTAGATCCTGACACCACCTTAACTTTGCTTCGTTCCATCACTCTCTTGCCGGTAAGGGGAGCTGATTGAGCTTATGATTTTGTTTTTGGGAAGCAAGCAATGAGACGGTGGAGAGAGAACGATCGAGGGTGATCTCCGCACTGACCAACGTGGCAAACTTCTGGGATCCGGCTCCAACCCGCGGCTGTAACCTTGGAGGCTGGACTCACTGACCAAGATATCGTCGGACGACAGTTCCCGGGCGGTGGGGTGTATGCCCGGGATGGGCAGTGTAACGTCCACAAGGTTGACATGTTTTCCAAATAAAATAAAAGAAAAATAAAGAAAGGGGAAATCTCCAGGACTCAAGAAGAATCAGACACGGAGGCCAATCAACAGGATGGACTTCTTGCGCTCTCGACGGATCCCGCCTTGTGGTCGTCGTCGTAGTAGTAGTAGTAGCCTCTCGTCAGCTGTTCGCGGGCCGAAAACGTGTTTGTCATCGAAAGGCGGTTCATTGTGGCGCTAAACTGACTTTGGCGTAGGCACGTCGATCTCGTATCCCGCCAGACAAAACAGCCTCGGGCGACCGCAACATCAACGCGACCGCTGACAGGCATCTCCCGGCAACGCAGAGCGCACCAGGAGGGTACTTTTAAACGAGGATCTCGCTCCGGTCAAAGACGATCTGTGAATCACATCAATCTTTTCATATCACGGCTGGCATCGGCCATGGGAAATATGGAATGTGCTCCTGTCCGTGAATCCCGTTGTGCTGCCCTTTTTGATGCCCCAGATTTGCAAGAACACTTTCCCGTCTCCGTGGACTTCGGACGGATTGCGGAGAAGTGTATCTTTGCGTAACAATATTCCGTTTGTTCCGCCGCTGCCCCCCGGAAAAGTCGTGGAATCCCTCTTTTGGAATTTCTCTCCTCCCAATGACACTGTCAAAAGGACTAAAGACGGAACCTATGTCTCATCATCCGTGTTGCGATTTTGGGGCGGTACAGAGTCCTTTCAGGTCAATACCGTTGATCCTTTTACCACACAGCCGTCAAAGCTTTTCGTCTGTTCATAGATGGGAAGACTGCCCTTTTTGGGAACAGCGTCGACTACCATATGACCGAATTGGTCGAGCACTGACGTTTGATATCTCTGGCAGTATCCCAATACGTGCTGCGAACGGTGTGATGGTATTCAGCAAAAGGATGCCAGTGACGCGGCACCACAGCACCTTGGTCGGATTATCACCAGAAGTACTAGGACGACTCGAAGCGCAAAACCAAGGCTGATATGATGTGGATGTGCCTTTTCTGTCAGTCATCGCCCTGATCGGTGCCCCGGCGTCATGACAATGACATCCCGCAGTTTCTGTTCCGAGGAGGCTTTTTTCAAACGACGTTTTCGGTCCTCCCTTCGCGAGAAGCAAATTTGAATGTATTCTTATGGATTGCAATAATCACTCAGTTCAAAACATCCAGCATCTCTCTTTGTGATGGTGTTGTTCCTAGGAAGCGTGTGCTGGCACATGGAAATATTAAGGGGCATTCCAGCTTGACCAGATGTTTGGGTTTGAAGAGCTTTGTCCTCGAGAAGAGCTCTAATGCTGTGGATCCAGTATCAAACCGAGAAATTCAGAAATTAGGGAAACGAGAGCACATGAGACGGCATGTGGCTATATAACAAAGGCGCGATTAGTTCGAAGTTTACCAACCACCATGATTGAAAATCTTACCTGTACTTGTCTTGTCTGACTGCTATGAAACCTGATTGAAAGCAAGGGGCATCCATCAAGTTTCGTTACCCCCGCTTCGAATTCATGCCACCGCACATGTCGCTTTCAGGTGAGAATGGTATCTAACTGGCATGTTTATCAGCCTTCCACAAAGCACTCCCAGATATCGCGGGGAGTGATGACGACAAGCAGCGTAATTTTGGCTGGGAAGTTTGCCCAGCATGACCATCCTAGAGTCCACGGCGAGAATTTGTCTGTGCAAGTCTTTGCATCGTTTCCCCGGTACATAGATCCTCTGGCCTCTTACCTCGCAAACCAATGCTAGATATATACTCCACATATAGAGATAAAATTCGGAGAGTCTGAGATCCTAGCTTATTCCAAAATTTCATCGCAAACAGAATAGCAATCAATCATGTCTTGTAGACGCTCAAAGCATCCCAGTGGCTACCACATCCTGACACCGGTTGGAACACGCACACCAGCGGCAATTAAGACAAAGTTTTCTTCCAGAGCCACTCCTTTTTTTGACTAACCACACCTCACGCGCCGAAAGAAACCCAGAATTGAACAGGGATCCCTATGAGGCTCAATCACCCACCGTCGCCTTCTCACGAGCGTGTTTGCCGTCAACCACCACCCACGCTGTCGGCGTAGTAGTTTCGAGAAGCCTCAGTCCCCGCACATGGTCTTCCTTCAGGCTGCTTACCCCACACAAAGAGAGAGAGAGAGAGAGAGAGAGAGAGATATCTAAGGATACCTCCGGCCCGGCAACTGAGCATTACTTAACTAACCAACTAATAATTCACGAGGCCTGCAGAAAGAGTGTAGCACCCTTTCCCCCATGTCGCTCCGCATCCACATCTTTTTTCTTCTCCCCCGCAGATATGCGGCTACGTTGGTGGAATCGCGTCTTGTTGATCTAAGACATGTTGCATGCATTGTGCTCCGCTCTCGCAAACAAACAAGGTCTCCCTTCCCCCCCACGCGACGCCCAGTGCACACGGAGGATTCGGTGGGATGGTTGCCTGTGACGACCGCAATGCCGGACCTACATCATTATTGGACAGGGATAAAAGGACTTCCGGACCTCCTCGCAGCAGGCGGCTTTGTGCCACCGTGCCAATCTTGCTTTGGAATTTGCACCTTTATGTGATTGAGTCTACAAAAAAAGGTCCTCTTGAGAGGTATATCGATATATATGTGCAGTTCAAATGCAGCGAGAATGTAAGAAAATAAAATGAAAGGAACAGAAAAGGGCAGAGCCTTTACGTTGAAGGCAAATCTGACAGAAAGAGTTCACGCATTCAACATAAAGAAACAATCAAGATGAGGCAGAACCATGTTGTAAACGGGGCTCATGCCCGCAAAGTAGATCCCAGAATAGAAGTCAAGAGGAACATCCCCAGGAGTGTCACAAAATACATAGGTCTGTCAAACAGTATGTGATTGAAAAATATGTTTTTTTAAAAAGAAAAAAAAGGAAGAAAAGAAAAGAATGAATGAAGGCAAAAAAATGAAAATATCATCTCCGTGAAAAAATTTATCATGTTCGTCGTGATTGTAAATGGCTCTTTGGTCTGTTCCATTGATTGGCTCTCAACGCTCGTAAAGCGTTTTCCCGTCACTAGCTTGAGTGATATGGAAGTTGTCACAGCGAAGTCCTCGAAACTTCTCGCTTGGCCTAGCCACCAAGGTTTCCTCAAGCATTTGAATTGACAGCAAGCGGGTGGGTCTTTTCACGATCGACTTTCGTCAAACTCGGGCGATTGCAGATTAGCCCGTGTCGTCGTTCGATCGACAGCTTTTGCACACTCAGGTGGCACCTCCGCGCTTTGTGAATCAGGTTCCCTTGTCTTTCGATAATTTGGCGACCATGGTTCATCCTTGATGTCTTCGCGGATAAAACATTTTGTCCCGCTTGGCCTAATGGTCACGGCAAAGGCGACAGCAGCCAGCCGTCATAACGGTTGGCGGCACAGAGACGCTGGGAGAAAGACAACCTACCACGTATCAACCATGGGTCGTATGCCCAGCAGCCTTTCCAGGAAAAAGCGGACACAAAGCAGCTAGCCGCTAGTCCTTCGAGAAGATCCAAAGAATGCAACCTCGAGAAGCGCAGCGAATGGCTTGGAACGGAGGGCGAAGGGCGCACTACTTCGTGCCAAGGGCCCAGAGACTCGGACTCCACCCCGGCCATCCGGCCCCATTTATATGATCGTCATTAATATCTCTGAATAGACACGAATGACAACCATGGGGTGTGGTGGGATTCCGCTGCTTCGGGAAGAGGGTGGGTTACAAGAACCCGGATTCCGACAGCAATCTACTCAGCCAGAAGGGGAAGAACAGAGTTGTCAGCTAATAAGTTAAGACACACCCAGAATTTTTATGCGCCGAGGCGACTTTTGTTAGAAGGTTGACGCAGATAGAAATTGGAGGAAGGCCAGAACAGTCAGTGCATGGGGCAGACAGAGAGAGAGAGAGAGAGAGAGGATGGGAGATATCTCGGACTGGGGCCCAACCCAACCACGAGCACAATTTACACGGCGTGCGTTGTTGGCCCATGTGCCCTGACTTTGGCCAATCCCAAGGATGGGGCGCTGTTACAACCTTGCTGCAGTCTTCGCTTCGGAAACACTTGGCACACGTGGGCTTGCCATCCAATCAAGGGGAGAGTGCAAGGATGCTGTTTTGATGATGTCAAGCGGCGCGGGGAACACCGAACAGCAGCAAACAAAACGCAAGGCAAGGCAGGAAAAAAAGGGAAAAAAAAAAAAAAAAAAAAAAAAGGAAAAAGAAAAAGAAAAAGAAAAAAAAACCGAGAGTGAGTGTTCAATGACCGCCAACGGATAGAGCAAGTGCAAACATGGATGGATCGTATAATCTACCATACCTCGCAATTTTCTCATCTTCCCGTTCTCGAGGTTCGACCTCCAAACTCCGGTCGTACATCTCGTGCACATCCCCGGCTACTTGCATGTTACTCAAAACGTAGTCCTGCAGCTCCGGCACCGGCTGTAGCTGATAAGGTGTGTTCTGGTACTGCTGGATGTCTCGGATCACTTCCGCCGTCTTATAGCGCTTGCTAAAGTTTATAAGATCGGAGGGTGTTAAGGATGGTATTCCGTCTTCGATAAAGGTGAGATCGGTCAGGTATACGCCTAGGAGCAAAGAATCATCAATATACACCCCGTTAAACACGACAAAAACCATATACTCCAAGCCCAAGGGGAATCCAGAAGATTACCGAAAAATGGGATGCAAGGTGGTGTTGCAAGATGCAACGTCTCACGGTACTCTCCGAAGTTCTTAGTGCTGGCCATGAGCTTACGCATCGCCTCCAAAGTCGACGACGTCTTCTGGCTAACTTGCGACCATGTCCGGTTCAACCGGTGGATTGGCGCGGTTCCGAGAGCCGAGATGATCGACGTCAAAGTGGAGTAGTTGTTCATCTGCCGACATTTCTGAATGATTTTTTTGGTTAACATAGTGAATAGCCAAGAAGAGGAATGCTCAAGGTTAAACCTACCTCTGCAACCGTGACAAAATGCTTGATGACGACCATTCTTCTCTTCACATCCGATTGAGTTAAGATCATCTCTGCCACCCAATTTGTCAGCTGATTGGAGTGTAAGATAAGCGCTTTGACATTAACGGCAGGGTCCGGCTCATCGGGTCCGAGCTTCTTCTGCCATGTCTTATTCAAGCATTCTGTAGGTTTGATCTTGGCATATAGTCTCGATTCAATGATCGTAAGCTGCCTTGCGAACTCGGTAGGGTCGATGTCAAGGAATTTTATCTTCTTCATATTCTTCGGGAGAATAGGAGTGGGTGTGTGGGCACTAAGCGTAGGCACTAGGCGCCTAGCTGTGGTATCTAATCCGCGTATTCGCTGATCAATTAAGCTGAGCAGCTGAGTGGTACCGGGAGTTCTAGTATTTGTGACTGCATTTGTCACAAACGCGTGAATTCGTCTTAGCAACAGGGTGTTCGCATTGTCATTTGGTTCCATCCAATAAGTCTCTAACCAACTCTTAAGGATACTAACAACGCGGATCCGAATCGGGTTTTGTTTCTGCTCTGTCCAAGATTGCAATTCTGTCACATTCAGGCCTGACGGAGGTTGGAGAGTAAACCGAAGGACAAGCATTTCAAATAGTTCGGACGCTGTAGTGAATGATCTGTACGTAAGCAGGAAGGTGTCCTTGAAGGAAGGTTCCAGTTTATCGTGGCGCGTCAACTGCTCGACTAGTCCAGCCAATGTACCACATTTTACCTGGGGTACTTCAGACTTGGTATCATAGAATACCTCTCCTTCATGATCAAGACTTAAGAACCAAGGAGTCTCTTCAACATCTCTAATAGGCTGTTCTCGAGGGACAGGCTGTCCAAAGAAGCGCTGTGCCTTATCGAGAGTACGCTGCGGCTGTTCTATCAAATCTTCGCCATTTATTGGATAAGACGATGGAATACCGATAGACTCTGGCGGCACGCGCCTGACTTGGGACTCCGAACGCATCCGCATTGGCGCAGGGACATCCGATTTGCCTCCCGGAAGGTTTCCTGGGCTTTCCAGAGGTGACTGCTCCAATAACAGTGTGAGAGAGAACCCGATTTGAGACATATATTGCTCCAGTTGCCTCGTTATAACCTTAACATCATTAAGACGGGTATCGAGCGCATCGGATCGAAGTTCGGCCCATTCATCAGCCAACGGTGCCGACATTGCTTGGCAGGCTAGGACGAGGTCCGCGACACCGTCATACGCCCGTTGCTTTTGGAGACTAAAGTCTGCTAACTGCGGGTTTTGAAGGCTAGTGCCCAACGGAGCAAGATCGATTGATTCGATATGGGACATCCACGGCCGGAAAGCCTCCAGAATGCGAACGCAGGCGGCGCATACAGCATCCCCGATTGTAGCATGTCCGCCAGAGGTCACAATTTTATCCTTCAGACTAAGCTGCTTATCCAAATAACGACAGTTGGCAACCACCGCCTTTCGAAGATCATCAATTCGGTCAAGAAGGGCAGAATCAAGTGCCGTCGAAGGAGTAGCGCGGAGATCTCGGCCTAAATCGTGCTCTAGAAAAGCCGTGGGATCTTTATCACAGAGATTATTGTTTTGCCAGTGCCCTCCAGAAGTGCTACCACTGACGAATCCAGGCACCAGCCGCCGGATATCCTCTCCTTTTTGTTGCCTAGCTATATTAACATAGCCATAAACGCCGGAGAGGACGCCCTCGGCTTCATGAAGGCATTTCTTCGACGAGTCTGGAACGGGCCAATCTGCAGCCGCAATATGGGACGACAAGACCAACTTGGAAAATTTGGACATCATGTCACGGAAATGAGGATACAGCGCCTTGTTGGTAGAAATGATAGACGGGTTCCCCGAGTGATTATCGGTCGTACCAGAGCCTGCAGCCAGAAGCATTCGCAAGTGGTCTGAAATATCCTCTGCTCTACTCACGAATTGGGACCGGTCTCCTGCCAGCATCGCCTGTCGATACGCCTCAATAGCCTGACGCATATTTTCGACCAACGATGCCCACGATGGCGGAACCTGTGTGGAATCATCAAGAAAATATCGAGGGACGGAAGAAGAAACGGGGGCTGGTGCAGATCGTATACACAAAGAAGTCGTAGCCGCCGCGCCGAAGTGAGAGGTAGAGGAGTGCAACTGGGTCCCGGCGCTCCGTGGAGCCTGCGAATCAAGAAGTTTTGCAACGGGTGATGGATTTACTGAGTCTAAAGAGGTTGCAGGAGACACTCCATCAGATAAGCCCGAACGACGTCGTCTTGATAAGGACTCATTTGATGTGAAAAGAAGGGATTCACCTTCAGCTTCGGATGCAGAACCGTCATAATCATGCTCGTACCCACCGAGAGACCGGTTAACTAGGTCGATTGGCGCACGAGTGTGTTCAGGGACGTAAATATTCGTCTGATTCCGCGGTCCAGACTCATGGGGCGAGGTTGGCGTTTCCAAAGGAAGCTCCATTGTACTATAGCCCGTCAAAGTGTTGTAATAAAACAATCGCCCGTCTGCCGTAGCTTGGGGGATCCAATACGCTGCCTCTTCCTGAGTGGCAGGAGCCATGCTCTCGATCGGGAGAATGGATAAATCGTCTCTTGAATTTCCCTGCGAATCCAGGTCATCATCGTTATCGTCCTCATAGTCATCTTCTGTACCAGATTCGATACTTAATTCGGCCGCAAGATTGGCCCGATCACAGAAGGCGTCGGGGCCGGGGACAACAGCGCAATAGTTGCTTGGAAACCAACCACGAACGTCGCCGATAACACCATCCCACCACCCCGTTTCCAACTGATTCAGGACCTGTATGATGTCCCCTTGTCGGAAACTTAAGCTGGTGTGGTCATCCGAAGTATAATCGTACAGGGCTTTGACGTATAGCCCCGGTGGCGCCTCAATCGGAGACCCATAGCCTATAATTTTATGAATCAGCATCAAACCAAGCTATTTTAGCTGCGAGCGTAGTTTACTGTGTACCTTCTTCGGCCATTCCCCCCGTCTCAGCGCTAGAGTGGTTATCGGTGTTTCCGGTATTGGACATTTCTATGCAATGGGCCTAGATTTCGTCCTGCGAACGTACGTATGCGTGCGCTTTCAAGCGTTTAGAAAAAGCCGAGTGCAAAGGGATTTTGACCGAGGGCCACAGCGAACGAAGGAGCAGGCGGATAAATAATTCTTAATGGACCAAGCAGGAGAGCGCATGATTCGTATTCTGCCGTCTCTCAGTTGTACCTTCAACCTTTCATTGACTAACATCTATTCTGACATGTTGTCTCGCAATTTTGTATGCCCGTAAGAGTGTTAACAGAGTCCCCTGGACAGGTTTATACCACAGCTACGGGGAAAGCGTGGGACGAAGTAGGCACAGCAAACAATCACCGATAGGGGTATTTCTGCCCCCGGCACAACAATCGGGTTGACGATGGTCGATGTAGCAATTTCCGGTGAGATACCAGCAGCGTCGAGACGTCTGCTCCTCTCAGACGAGGTTGGAGAGAGGCGGATGGGGAAGAGGTCGGATCAGCCGATGTGCGAGGAACACGGGTGAGGATGTGGGGACGAAAAGCAAGAGATGGATCAGGGTATCACGCAAGGGAGAAAGGACCGGGTCTGGAAGGACGGAAATGAAGGCGGCTCTCAAGGCTAGAGATAAGATCAAAAGACGATCGCGAGAGAGAGAGAGAGAGAGTGAGTGAGTGAGTGTGTGTGTGTGTGTGTGTGTGAGAGAGAGAGAGAGAAGGAGAGGGAGGGAGTGTGTGAGCAGCCAGCCGGTGTTAATGGCAGCAGTCGGAGGGAGCCGTAGGAAGGGTTGAGTTTGAGGGATGAAGTTCAAGAGCGAAACACAAGCAATAATACGGCGGGTGGAGAGCGAGCGCGAGAGACAGGCGAGGAGGGGGGAGCGTCACGTTTGTTACATAACACAAAGCTAATTGCTAACCGCCTCGCCTAGCCCGCAGTTGGTTAGTCTGGCTCGTGGGAGTTGGCTGCGTCGCGTGTTTTGTGCTGGCTCTGGACTCTTTTTTTTCCCCCCAACTCCGTGACCATTCGAGTCTCGCAGTTGGGCCGGTGTTCGCCCGTGTTCGGAATGCGGTTCACCACACGCCCTCGAGGTCTTCCGCGTGTACGTGCCGTTGAAACAAAACGAGGACGGATTGCAAATAAAAAGGACGGAACTGACTATCTGCCCCTTGACGGCCATGCTACCGTCCACTCGCTGGTGGTTTTCTATGTGGAGCTGCCCCGAATGCGTTCTTACCCATGAGCTGGCCTCGAAACCCATGGTTCATCCTTGTTGCGGGTTAAATTGTAACTAACATGGCCTCTTGGGTTGCAGGCACTTTGGCCAGCTTCGCACACGATATTTCTGCTTTCTCTTTCTCTTTCTATTTATTTTTATTTTTATTTTATTTTATTTTATTTTTTTTCATTCTTCCTCTATCTTATTACTCGTTGCGTGATCTTGGATTCAGCAGAGATGATGTACTCCGTATCTATCAGTCTGCCGTTGCTCTTCGTTGGAGCAATCTTGTCCGAAATTGGACAATTGCCAGCAACCTGTACGCGGGGCCCCGGCTATTCTCTTTTGGTCTGAAAACGGTTTACGAGTCCTTTCTTTTTTTTTTTTTTTTTTTTTTTCGGGCTTATGGGTCGAGCATGGGCCCGGTAGCAAGGAGCTTTTCACCCCGAGAATCGAGTTCACGGCATGGTCCTCCGTGCTACCCGTCTCCTTGGTAAATCGTGCTTTTCCTCTATATTTGTACACATCAATAGGAGACACCCTTCGATTGAAGGTGGGTTACAAATACCCCCAGGATATTTACGAAAATGAAAGCCCGAGTGCATACCATTCTGCTCCATAAGAGATGTACATAAACTCGGAGTATCACAGTTATGGCTAATCATGGACCCCCCGGCTTGACAATCAGGACGTATGGCACCGAACCCGACCGAGGTTCTGGGAGGAAAAGAACGGGGTTTTAACCTCGATCACTACAGAACCGGACGATCTGGACAACGTGTGATGAACCTCACTCCTTGAGCTGCTCATATATATCATGTGAAGTGCCTGTCCGCCCGAGTCAATGGCACACCAACGTTGGGTTCAGCATGCGGAGCCGGATAATATGTTTTCTTCGGCATGTGCTTATATGCACCCCGCATCCGATTGAAGTCCTCACGTCCTCTTCTTGAGTATGATGCTAGCTTCATGCTCACCAGCCAGGTTGGAGGATATTGTAAGGCAGCATGTCTTAGTACTGATCCGGGCCTAGCGCCAAAGTGGTATTCAGAAATTCTAGATCTTCCCCTTAACAATGGGGTTACTTGATGGACAGAGCGTGAAACGCCGGAAAATCTTGTGAGATTGGGAGTGGGAGCGGGCCGGCTAGGACGACAAGGGCCGGACCGGCGGGTTGAGGAATAGGAGGCAATTTTAACGTCTGTGCTCTTCCAGGGACTAGAATTTTTTTTTAAAAAAAAAGAAAAAAGGAAAAAAGGGGTTGGCGACTCGAAGTAACAGGGTGAATTCTCCCTCGTGTCATTCTGTGACTTTCTGATTGAAGAATTTGACTGTGTTCGTAAATTCTCTGAAAACTAAGCGGGGCGGAGAGTGGCAGTGAATCCATGATATTTTAAGGCTGAGGGCCTGCGAGCACCCCGCCCCTTATGGAAAACGTTTTCAAGCCGAAAATCTTTAACGTCTTACGGAGTACGGTACGGAGCAATGCTTGTATCCCATTCGACGATGGGAATATGCAGACAAGACCTGGTATTCCTAAAACGACTTGAGAACGCCTTATTGAACACGTTGACCATTCTGTGGATGATGAATGAGGTAAACTCCGTACTTGCCCTGGCGCAGAACCGGTTGGCCGTGGCCAAGCAGGAAAGATAGCAAACAGTAGGAATAGTAAGCAGCTGTGTCCTCTGTAGGGGTTGGAAATCGCCAAAGGCTTGTTTAATTACGAGTACTCCGTACATATGTAAAGATTGCGATCTGCATGTCCGGAGGACAAGGAGAGGCTAGCAAGATTGTTGAATTGCTTTCTCGAGAACCTCCGGAGTCCTCCGTACAACCCCAGTGACATATGCTTTGATGTGGCCTTCGCGCACATGGGGTTCCAAGGATATATAAAGATGATGTACCACTTAGCTATGGACGATGTAGTAGATATAGACTGCTCCCCCTCCCCCCCCCAAAAAACTACCAAACGAATAGATGTGCCCGCGGTCCGACCCAAGTCAAGTCAACAAAAACCACGAATAGAGCCTTAAGGACTGAGCAGCAAGAGTAGGTTAAAACAAGCGGGGGCGGTAAACCGAAAAAAGAAAACTAAAAACACCCATTCAACGATGGAACGACCCCTTATTTTTCTCTAGTTATTCTCCATCCCGGAGGAAGAATTAGTTGTTAGTTACACTTCAGCGGTCGTGGATTCCACACAGTAGGGGGGTATATTGCGCAACATGCTGGGACTTCAGAGCAGCAGAGCTCTTTACCTCTCTCCCTCCCTCTCTCTCTCTCTCTGTGTGTGTGTGTGTGGAGTATATAAATATACATCTCGAATCTGTTGACGCGCATTAAAGAACTGCCATTCTTATTCTAGTAATATTTTGTGTTCGGTGGTAGACCCTGTTTCTGATCGTCTGCCTGCAAAATTTGTCAGTGGCAAGGAAATAAGCAGTGAGGATCTTTGAGGCACCAACAAGCAACCTCCCAACACTCTCAACACATTCGATTTCAATCTCAATTCAGCCATGTTCCCTGTCTCTAACGTAGATGCTATCCGGATAAGTGATCGCAACATCAAAATCTATCCGCATAACTCTTTCCGGGTCACCAGGCACAATTAGAATGTTCTTGGATAAGGGTCATTATGCTCAACCAAAGCTGAACGAATCTGTTGGATACCATTGACTGCCTTGGCCATGCTCTCTTTGCTGTAAGTGCAGCAGTTAATTGGCAAGGGTTTCGCAAGTATTCCATCGGAATTGCACATGGGAGGCCAGCATCTTGCCTTAAAGGTATCTAGATCATGACGAGCAAGGGCAGCTGGATTCAGAGACAATACATATCCATAGAACTGTGGCACATAGCCTGCATCATACATGCCATACTGCTTGAGGCTGCAGTAGGCCTGGATTTCGCAGCGAGCATGATTCAAGTCACGAACCCATCATCAGCATACCCGGGGTCTTTATTGTTGTGAAACTGGACATGGTCAGAAACTGATAGATTTGGGATGTAGCAATGGTCAAGGCACATACAACTTTCAGAACACGGGGCTTGTCATCATAGTTCACATAGAATATTGATGATGACTTTCATATTTTCAGCTATTTGATAAACTTGATCTTTGTGGGATCGATCTCAATCCTCAAACTGTCGTTGAACCCTTTCTCTTTCTCATAATTGTTACCCTCGGGGCCACGAGGCGGATCGGTGTGATCGGATATGATGGCGGTAAGAAACCGAAAACAAAGATAGCTAAACCTCCATGGTGGAAGAAGTGGGATGATGAAAGTAAAGTGCCGTGCCGCCCGTTGCTGTACCTCTCCCTCGAGGCCCGGCTCCATGACCTCCATCGGAATTAAGTTGTTCTTCCCACACGCCAAGGCCAATGGACCCGTCTGATAAGTGGAAGGCCCACAGCACAGTTTCTTCTATCCTTACAGACTTATGGAGTACTACGCACTGTTTGGTCTCGCAATGATTGTCCAGCTTTTAGCTTGGTGCTCCAGCAGCCCCTCGCCACCGCTTCTTTTAAATTGCGTTTCTAGTAATGCATCTATCGTTCATTTGTGGTGCTGAATGGTCTAGAAGAGTGAGGAGATACAGCTCCTTGAAGAGGATTCTTTCAGCCACTACTCCGTACTCCGTAAGCTCACTGAGGGCGGGTTATTAAAGCGGCCTGCCTCAAGCGCCACTCTGGGCCTAGTAAGATTGTAGCATTTTGGGAAATTCCAGATTCCCTCTTGATTATGAGGGGTCAGTATCCCATATATTGACGCACACATTCTGACCGAGATACTATGCATACAGGTTGTCAACGACGGGTGCGAGAAGGATACCTCAAATAGTCACGTTCATGTCATTGATAATGGGAGCCCCGACGTTAATAGAATCTTCACAGACTCAGGGTAAGCGCTCTTTAATATTTGCAAAGGCCGGATCGATGGCTAACACGCAACTCGGCTTTGTCTGGCTGGTTCCAGGATGTAGAGCGAAACTTATGAACATCAACGACCTTCTCGTGTATGTGAATGTTAATATCCAGTCAAAGATACTGGAAAAAAGGTGTACCATCCTTGGATGAGATATCATCAAGGGTTGCATCTTGAATTGTAGCTTTGTTGGAAGTAATAGCAGTAACAGTCTCAAGCACCTGAGCTTCTGTAGCTACGCAACAACACCAATCAGCAGATGCCAAAAATATGGGATATGATAGGCGTTGCTAGGAACTTGAATGGGGATTGGGGAGAGGACTATGTCCGTTGTCCTCTGGAATACGCAAGATATCGATATATTTGTAAAGGCCTGAAATCTAGTCATGGCGCCATATTCTAGAACCGTCAATATGCTCCATTTCTCTCTTTTCGAGATTTGCTGGTGGGGTTCGAAGGAAGATTGCTTTGTTATATTTACGTACTTTTTGAATTAAGGCTCGACTAAATAAGAGGGGGAT